CCCTCCCAGCCCGCCTGGCCCCAGCGCCGCTGGTGGACATGGAGCCGCGGTCTCCACGGGAAGCGCCCACGGCGCCCGGCACTGGGGATCCCCGACTGCCCGCGCTCAGGAGGGTCACAGAGCGCAGGGTCGGGGGTCAACAGCAGCCTGGCACCCTGGGCCCGGACACTTGAAAAGGACGCCGCCGCCGGCCGCCTCCCAGGCACTGACCCCCAGTGCTCCCTCCGGGCTCCACTGGCCCAGGGAGGCTCAGGGACCCTCGCAGCCCCTCCAGGAGCTCAACCCCCAACTCCAACCCCAACGGGAACATCCCTGAGGTCAGCCCGGGGGTGCAGCTCTGCAGGGCGCCGGACAGCTGGCGGCCCGGCCACACGCCGCGCAGGGCAGTGCCATGTGGGCAGCAGATGGGGCCAAAAGACTAGTCCCGGCCCAGGACGCTGCCCCTCCCGGTCTCGGTGGCCCGGCTGACCAAGGACGCCCACCAGGACAGGCCAGAGGCCGGCACAGGGGCTGGATAGGGGCGCTAGAAAAATACCAGGGACCGCTGGAGACCCCAGTCTACCTGCTTGGCAGCGGCCCGAGACCCCAGATCAGGAGGAGGCTTCTGTGCGGCTGGGCGCTGGCCACACCCCAGCGGCGGCCGGTCCAGAACCGCTCGGTTCCTGGAGCAGCCCGGAACACGGGCTACACCGGGCCACAGGCCCAGCACAGCCACAGAGGCCACCGCCGCCCACAGGGCAGCTGCTCTGGCACTCCGGGCAGCACTGCCCACAGGATGCTGTGGGTGAGGAGGTGCAGGTCCAGCCGAGCCTGGACAGCGTCTCTGGCCTACCGGAAGACGAGGCAGCAGACAGCTCAGCTGGGCCCTCCGCCCCACGCCCCTCTTTTGGGGTTCCAGAACCCGCCGACAGGGAAGGCCTGCTGGCGGTGGCGCGGCCCCCGCCCCGGCACAGCTCCGAGCCCTTGGCCCACTGGTCTGCCCAAGTCCGAGCAGGAGGTGGACAGTGACCCGCAGAGGGGCAAGGGGCGCGCTGGAGTCGGCACCCACACCCGCCGGCACCCTGTGGCATCCCCACAGTGGGCGCTTCTGGGACCCGGAGCCCCTGCGCTCTGCACCCCAGGTGCGACCACTGAAAGTTCCCGAGAACTGTGTGCGCCCCCAACGGTGCCAGCGAGACTCTCCACTGCCCGCCTCCGGGGCGCCCCTGGGAGACCCCCAGCCTGCACCCCCCGCACCCCCCACAGCGCTCCACCCCCTCAACCCCCCACGACTCAGCCCTGCCTGCAGACTGGCTCCAGCCTCCCCCGATCCCCAAATTCGGACCCTCCGGGCCCAGCAGTGACCGACATCTGTGCCTGTGTGCAGCCACCCGGCCGCGGCCGCAGCACCCGCGGGGCGGCGCCGGCGCCCCGACCCGAGGTTGCACCGAGTCCCTTCGTGACAGGACGTGACACGGGGCGCCGCGCACTGCCCACCCCCAAGCGGG